ACACAGTGTGATATTGGTATAAGGGGAAAGACAGATCAAAGGAATAGAATGGATTCCAGAATTGATCCACAGTTAAATTTTTACCAAAGGAGTGAAAAGAACGTTGGCACATTCATGCTATGATCTGAAGGCCAAGGGAATGTCTACAGGGTGATTTATAAATTTATAACCTTTTATGTATATACTTTTTACCACATACAAAAAAAAAAACATTAGGAGAAATTCAAAGGGCAGGACAGACTATATTCATTAACTTTGGGAATTAAGGATATATTGAGTATGACTTACCAAAAACTTTAAAAGTGGCCTTTACTTGCATCTCTTCTCCACTTCTGCCTGGCACCCAATCAAAACATTTGGAAGCACTGTTCTTTTATAAATTTAGCAGCTTAAATTGAAATGCTTCAAGATTGGCTGAATTTTGTTGGAATGAAGATGGTCTCTACTGAGTTGATGAGAAACATTTAGTTGAATCATTCCAGCACACATGGTGTGTTGGCTGTGACATAGCTCTCGACCAGCATGTAGTTTGCAGTCGGCTTAATCTGTGGCAGTCAGTACTGCAAAATCTTTAGCTTAGCACTTTATAAAAAACAAATAAAGCAAACAAATAAAAGTGCTTCTGCACGTGCCATGTGCTTGCTTTATATTTGTAACCCTTTTAGCCTTGATCTTGTGCACGCGGCATTGATTTCAGAGCCTTGGCTTCTGCCTTCTCTCCTTGGAGCGTTAAGTCAAGTCCTCTAGGAGTGAGACTAAACATCTATGTCAGGGTTCAATAAGGGCTTTTATACCTGCATCATTTGAAATTAGGTGATTGAGTTCCTTGATTTGGAATGTAATAAAATTTTAGGATGGCCATCTTCTCCTTGCAACTGAGGGTTTGAGGTTGAATTTTAAAAAAATTCTCCTTCAAAAAAAAATCCTCCCTCATGGAAACCTAGTATGCCATCCAGCAACCAGTCGTAATGAATTATATTTATGTTATATATGCACTATATATATGCTATATTATATTTGCATGTGTATATATATTTTTATATTGTAATACATAACATGTATAAATGTATCTAATAACATACATATGTTATATAGAATATATTAAATAGAATATATATGTTCTGTTCTATAGTATAACCGACTATATATGGTCTAAAAATATATAGAATATGTTAGATATATAGAATATATAGAATATATTCTATAGATATTCTATATATTTTATATCTATATAAAATATATAAAATATATAGAATATCTATAGAATATATAGAATATGTTAAAATATATGATGTGTATAAATAAAATGTTATTAGATAATATTTCTACAAAATATGAATATCAATAATATAACATGTATATAAAGTGTTATTAGATGGACCAAGGGAGCGACCCCTGCCATGGACACCTTGGTGTGTGATATGAAAGAAGCTTCTCTCACTTACCAACCATTCACACTAATGGAAACTACAAAGCATATAAAGGCCTATCGCAGTGGCAGAAATGGTGCTCCACCTCCTTAACAACCATGGAGATTAAAATCCTGGCCCCAAAAGCAGATTGGAGATTTGAAAACCAAATGATACACTTTCTCTCCGTCCTTTCTCTCAAGTCCTTGCAGCCTGTCTGAGAAGTCTGTGGGCAGAGTTCTAGAGCATTGGAGGAAGCAGGACAATCCTAGATGTTACTTAGGCCACTTGGATTATGGGCCCATTGAGCAGGGGACAGAGTCATTTTTCCTTCAGATAATTAGAGAGCATAAATATAATTTATTTCTTGTTTCTAAGGCAGTTAAGAAAGACTAATACTATCTCTATTCTCAGCCTCAACTAGCTCCAGGGAATATAAAGACAAGTTTGATTCCAAGAGTGTGTGCTTTCCTTTGTCACTGCCTGTCCCACTGCTCATGCTGTTAGTGACAACAGTGAGGCAGTGTTTTGCCTGTATGGAGGCCATGGGTGTCGTTCTCCAATGTCGTGTATATGGGGACTTTGAGCGGTTGAGATCTTTTAACATGCCAGGTATAAGCAAATGGCAACTATTATATGTTTGTTTTCCGCTTTTCTAAGTAAAAAGGAAAATAAATTAGCAAATAGTGTTTACTGATAATGATACGGTAAAATAATACATTAGCTAATATTGTTTACTAATACTATACATTGTTATGTAATAATGTTTTCACAGTAATACTGATACCAACATACTCTATTAATAAATCTTGCTAATTGTTTTTATACCTGGCTCTCCTATTTTCCCGATGCATTTATTTTTTTTTTTTAATTTCACTCAAGCTAATGTCTGATTTTATGTTTTATTCATTGTTCAGAATGAGCCATTTCTGAATTTTCTAAAGTTTTGATCTTTTCCTCTTTAACATCAAGCCATCCCTCATTTTTTTTTTTTTTTTTTTTTTTTTTTGGTTCTGTCCTTCAAGTAAGTTTGAGTTTTCTGGTTTGGGACTTATTTTGGGGGGCACGCCATGTAAGGGGCCCCTGTAAGATTAGTATTGCCAGTCTGTGAGTCAGAGAAGCCTTTTTGGTGCTTGGCCTCCGTGTGCTGGTTGGCTTCATGCTCCAGCCCCCACCTCAACCCTGGCTCCAAGGACAGAGAATATTTGAAGGCAAACATTTGAAGATCATGGGCTTTTGTTTATTTACCCTTCTTTCTTGAAGATCACTTTTAGTTAAATCATCATAGCGCTAAGACTCACATGTTGTTATATGCTATATACCCACACAACACTGTTGAAGAGCTTAAAAGTGTGTGGGAAGTTGCCCATTTCCTCAGAACCGAAAGTGATCACCACCACCACTGATTTTTTTTTTAATAAAGAGCGCGTGGCATGAGCAGGAAAGAGAGTGCTAGCAGTGGGAGAAAAGAGAGCTTTTATATATATATATAGGTATATATAGGTAGAGAAGGTAGTGAGAGAGAGAAGAGAGAGACAGGTAACCAGCAGTCAGGTTCCATGCTCAGTCCAGCACTCAACAGTGGCTTGGATTCGAACCATGAATGCAAGCGACCCGAAAGCTGAAAATCAAGAGTTGGATGCTTAACCGACTGAGCCACCTAGATGCCCCACCACCATCATTTTTAATAAATGAGGAAACTGAGGCACAGAATGTATCAGTAGCTTGCCCACTTAGAATTGGAGGGGAAAACTGCTATCTGACTCCTGAATCTGCACACATAATCATTTTTATCTATTTTTATCTGTTGCATCTCATCGTCTCTGATCTCTGGGAGCTTTGGATCATGGTCTTCTGAGAGCCGTTGCCTCTTCTGTAGGTTTCTTTCTTGCATCACAGCTTGGAAAGTGATGCAGAATTCCCAAGGCCATTACTGAGTCTGGGCTGAGAGAACTGGGAGGAAGGGAAATTATGAAGCCATTTTACTTTTTTTTTTTAACGTTTATTTATTTCTGAGACAGAGAGAGACAGACATGAGTGGGGGAGGGGCAGAGAGAGAGGGAGACACAGAATCAGAAGCAGGCTCCAGGCTCTGACCTGTCAGCACAGAGCCCGAAGTGGGGCTCGAAATCACAAACCGTGAGATCATGACCTGAGCCAAAGTCGGTTGCTCAACCGACTGAGCCACCCAGGCGCCCCATATGAAGCCGTTTTAAAAGAAACATCAGCCTCAGGCACCTGGGTGACCCAGTTGGTTAGGCATCCGACTCTTGGTTGCAGCTCAGGTCATGATCTTCTAGTTTGTGGGTTGAAGCCCCGCGCTGGGCTCTGCGCTGATATTGTGGAACCTGCTTGGGATTCTCTCTCTCCCTTTCTCTCTGCCTCTCCCCTGCTTGCTCTGTCTATCAAAATAAATAAATACATACATACATACATACATACATACATACATACACAAACAAAAAAGAAACACGAGCCTGTTTTCTATACTATTAACTGAGAATAGATGGGAAAATTCAATCTAAACATTCTATGAGACTTTGTAGTGTAGCAATTGTATATATGAGTTTACAGATTCAAATTCTGAACTATATTTTTTAAAAATCAAGCACATGAATCTGTGAGGTTGCATAGTATGCAGAAATCCTGATGGGCATAATTCAATGTACTTGAAGACAGTACTTATCTTGAGAGTTAACGTTTATTATGATGATGATTTACAGTAGAGGTGAGTTTCTGTAAAAGATTCTGAGTGTCTGTTGAGTGTGGTTTTGAACGCATTAGAAACTAGGATATTGTCTGATAAGGGTCATGGGTGGAACTGTTTGTCTCATCTCTGTTTTGATTTCTAACTCAAACATTAGACCCTTCCTATAGCCTTCCAAATCACAGCAAGTCTATAGTAAACAGTCATTATTTCTACAGATATTCTATCAAGACTATTAATAAAATGCTGTCCAGGGTAACAGAAATGAATATGCTTACTTACATATATATTTGTACCTATGTGTTTGTGTGTGTGTCTGCACTGACACACACACACTCACACACACACACACACACACACAGACCACTCAAATCCTGTGCAAAGTGCTAATACTCTTAATAGAATTATTTCTAATTATAGATACCGTGAATAATAAAAGAAGCACATTGCCCTCTCTTGGTTACTCTAACTTTCATTTGCTGAAAAGCTTTTCTTTAAGTTATCATTTACTGAATGCTTATATACTACACATGTGATTAAGTGCTCTACAAGCAGCCCTGTGATTAAATAGGTATCACTATTCAGTTTTTCAGCTAAGACACAGGCTCAGAAAGATTTGTGAACTGCCCAGTATGGCATAGTTCACCAGAGTGAGAATCTGTGAGAGCCCAGGTCTGTCCCACTGAGGCCCTGGCTTATTCCATAAAACCCACCTTCCTCCTTTCCGTTGACTCACAATTTTTAAGAAGTTTCCTGAGGCCTAGCTGTGTATCTCAATGATCTTTTATAATTCTTCTGTATCCACTTATTTAAAGCTTTCTCACTTCTGTGTCTGTGCTTCTGCTCAGCTCTCCATCTCCATTAATCTTCTCTGTATTTTCCAGCTTTGGAGACATGCTGTCCTTCACCCTGACAGCCTTTGTTGAGCTGATGGACCATGGAATAGTATCCTGGGATACGTTTTCAGTGGCGTTTATTAAGAAGGTAATGCAGATTGTTTTTTCAGGGCTTAAATTACTTTCATAGATATTTTGCTCTGCTTTGAGGATATGTCATAGTTGTTTCTTATAGTTATTTGTGTAAAAGATAGATGTGGTTGTTGAAAATATTATGCATGTGGGGTTCTGGGCACCTAACTTCTATGTGAAGATGACATTGTCTCCCCACCAGGATCGTAAGGGTGTGTATGTGAGAACCCACAGTCAAGGGAAATCAAGGAATCACGTTGTTTACACTACAGAAGCAGTCCCTTAGGAGTCCCTGGACAGGATTCAGTTATTAAGACCTAAGTAGAGTTTTATCTATCCTTCGTCAACCTTCTCTGCCCTCAATCAGGTATTCAGGGAAGGAGAAAGAGGGAAAGCATATTGATTTCCTGCATACCTGGGTTTGAAGCAGGGATATAAGAGAAGGAGGTGTGCTTCGGTCCATGCTTCTTAAGTCAAGCTCACTTGTAATCATGGTGCAGTAAATGTCTCTGGGATTGATTTCTCCTTCTTTAGGAGGAAGGTAATGAAGGGATGGGCAAGGTGGACTTGGTGTGGGAACAGAGGGCAGAAGAGCCCCCGCCGTTCCCTGAAGGGAAGGGGGGCGCCGTTCCCTTATAAATTTACTTTATAAGTATAGATTTCTGGGAAGGGTTATGTAAAATAAAGAATTTCAGAGAATCTGTGCAAAAGCTGGAAAGTCCAAGCAAAATGCAGAAGAGTCACTTGAATTTTTTAAACCTTGTTATTTTAATCCATGTTGAAATCATGGTAGACTTACAGAAAAATTGCAAAAACAGTACAGAATGTTCCCAAATGCCCTTCATGCAGCTTCCCCTAGGTTAACATTTTACATAATGATGGTACAGTTACCGAACTAGGAAATTAACAGTGGTACTATTACCATTATTTGATTTCACCATTTCTTCTACTAATGTCCTTTATCTGTCTAAGGGCCTGACCCAGGATCCCACATTGCACTTAGCTGTCATGTCTCCTTAGAGTCTTCTGATCTGACAGTTCCTCAGTTTTTCCTGGTCTTTCATGACAGAAAGTTTTGAAGACTACTGGTCAGTTATTTTGTAGAGTGTCCCTTATTTTGGATTTGTTTGGTATTTGATGGTTAAATTAAGGTTATGCACTTTTGGCAGGAATGCCAGAGAAGTAGTGTCATACCTTTCTCACTCAGCACATTGTATCAGGGTACATGGTGTCAACATGTGTTATTAATGGTGGTGTTGACCTTGGTTACATGGTTGAGGTGGTATCTGCTGGGTCCACTCACCGTGAAGTTCTTTTCCTTTTGAAGTTAATCAGTATCTTCTGGGAGATACTGCCTTGAATGAAAGGGCACAGAAAAGCCCCTAGGTTGTCAAATGAGGGTGTTGGAATTGGGTGCCCCAGAGATCGAATGCTTACATGATACATATTTATTTCAGACAAGAGCTGATTGGGAACCAGGGCCTTCTCAACAGACCTCTGAATTCTCTTCCCTTATGTAAGGGCATAAAGCCAAAGGAGATGATTAATTTAGGGAACTACTAGAAGAGGAAGCCTCAGTCAGTGGTACGAATTGCTAAAAAGAAAAAAAATGATTGTAGATGAGAAAGCCAAGGAAATGTAAGCAGTGAATGATGAATGTGAAGAACAAATTGCTGTGTTCTGTCTTTCTAGGATAAAAGTTCTAGAGAAGTAAGTTCAAATCTGAAGATACTGGGTTTTGTGTATTTTTCATACTTAACAAAAATGTTAACTCATACTGGATTATGGCAGGCCTTTCTCTCCTACATCCAAATTGCCTTGCTTGTCTGTTGTTAGAGCCTCTTTTGCGCTGAAAACAGTGCTGTTCTGAATGCAAATTCCTTGAGGTTGTATTGTGCTTTCATCCACATTATCTCTTTTGATCTCCAGAAATCCTTTCCAGAACAGAACAGACTGTCTTGCTATTACTGGTCAGGAGGGGAGGATACAATGGCTTGGGGAGGTTAAGTGATGTCATAGGGAGTGGAGTGTCACTGGTCCCATGGTTAAGGGCTTCTTCCCCTCATGCTATACACCTGTGCTTTCAAATGGTGGGAAAAATAGCTTCTGAAGATTGGTTGAACCAGTATCGCCTCTGTTCAGCCCTCCCCAACCTCACTGGTAAGAAGTTAAGTGATTTCTTCTGCTCTCCATTCTCCTTGGATCTTGCGTTTGTCCCTGTGCAAACACTTACCACATTTTTGTGAATTCTTTGTTTTTTTTTTTACTGGCTTCCAGTAGACCATGAGTCGTAGGAGATTGTAACCACAGCTTTCTGCATGACTTTATCCTCAGGGCCTGGCACCGAGGAAGACCGTAATAACTTTGTGTGAAATGAATGAGTGAAACTTGTTTTGGAAGAATTTTTTTAAAACTCTAGAACTTGAAGAAAAGAAGGAGTATAGTAACACCGTATTTAACTCTGTTTCAAGTAAAAATCAGTTGTGAGTGGACAGGGATTTGAAAACTTTTTCGTTAAATGACATGAGAAGTGGTTAGAGAGAATGACAATAATTTAATATTCTAATTACGTAAGAAAATGGTTTTCATTCATTGAAATTAAATTAAAAAGTCTAAGGAAGCAAAGACTAGCGGTCTTGGCAGTTTAAATAAAAAAATTAAATATTTTCTCAAAGGGCAATACATTTAATGGATTTCACATTCTCATTCCTTGCCATTCTCTTTCCTTTGCATTGCTACTTAGATCTCAGTCCCTTATGAGAATCTGAAAAATGGCCATCAGAAAATGACTTTATAATTGATAGTTTTTGTAAGGTTAACTTTTTTTATTCATTAGCTGGATCAAATTCAGCACTTTCACAACCCAGGAATTGTATGCAGGCAACTGTCTTTTAAATGGAGCTTTATCTCAACAAAACTCATCTAGGAAATGCCCTGACAAAAGATGTTTATCTCTGTGGTCCAGACTTGGCTTCCTATTAATGCCAAATTCATACCACTTTGGAGAAATATTTTTTCCCTGCCAGCCCGTCTTCTTCTTTACTATCTGTTTTCTTATGTGTGGATGGAGATTCTCGTTTACAAACTTTGTCTGCAATAAATAACATCATTTCATAAACATTTTGAAAGGTAGAATCCCTTGATGACAAAATGTAATGTTGCTTTTTAAAGAGTTGCTACTTAGGGAGAGGGTAGGAAGTTGTGGAGAAGAAAGAAAGGGAAGAAAAACAAAACTAAAAACTAGAACTTTCTATCTTACCCTTTGGTTTTCCCCTAGCCAAGTATAACATCAGTGCCTTTTCTCAGAAGGGGTGTTTCATACAAATGCTCTTACAGCCTTAGCTCTGCAGGAGGGCCTGGTTCACCCTACATAGTTTTCAGCACCTGGACAGACATCCAGCCAATTCAGTTTAGAGACTCAGTAATTTTTACCTCTTAAAAGACTAGAGAGATTCATGGGCCTGTGCCCAGATAATTTAAAATATGGCAATGGAACTGCAGGCTCTCTGTGGTTCTTTTCAGTTTTGACAGCATGGAAGAATTTTAAGATCTCGCCCTAAGTTATTCTAAGAAGTGTTTATGTGAGTTTAATAGTTTATATCTTTGATGCATGCACTGTGATGCCCCTTAGCTTTTTAGAAGCCACGCAAATACTCCTCCGTATTATTTAGGTAACATTTAAAAATGAATGCAAGCATGTGGAGGTAGTATATATAATTATTGCTAACTCTTCTTACCTCTTCTTTCTTACAGTACAGACCTACTTTCACACAGCTGTGCTTTGGCTTAGGGCTGGCTCACCTGTGTGGGCCAAAAGTACAGTAATGGAGCCAGAAGTAATCTAAAGGCAAAGAAAGTCATTGTTTCTTTGGGGGTGGGCAAGAGAAATTAAAAATTTAACCAGAAAATCTTTACTGTTCCGTAACTATACTAAGATCTATAGTTATTTAAAATAGACATAGAGAATAACGCTTGTATTTTGACGAATTTGTACATGCCCTAATAAGGAGCCTGTCTACAGTCATTATGTTTGTTCAGTCAGCCCTGATGCCTTGGTTATTGGTACTTATTAGATGGAAAGATTGGGTCATTTAAATGTCTGGTTAGAACCACTGACAGATAAAGGCAAAAGGTGGCAGTTAGTTTAAAAAAGCCACTAGTATTTTAGTACTACAAAATACTAGTACAAGTATTTTCACGTTCTCAAGCCACAGACTTGTACATAGACTTCTAACGATCTGCATGCCTGCTGTCTGCGAGGCAGGACTCAGCTAAGTGTGTTACACAGAATGCTCCTTTTGTAAGCTGCATTAGGATTGCTGAAATGATAGATTCCATATCTCACAAAAGAGGTGAAGTATAGAAAAGATTAATTTTTAAGAATATTTTGATGAAGGTAAGGGGTTAGTTTTATGGGAGAGAAATTGATAGAAATGGCAAAGGGAAATGGAATATGTATATGGAATTCAAATATGCCTGAATTAGAGCAGAGAACACAAACTCTTGTACAACATTTGAGCAAGCCCCCTGGGACCATGACGGCCAATAATTTGTAGGAAACTTTAAAAGAAGGTATAGTTTGTATCAGAAAATATTGAGAGTTCTGGTTGGATATTTTGAGAAAGGAAATGTTACCAAAAGGATATTTATGGAAGTAGAGGATAAATGTGTATTAGAGGGGAATCTTGAACATAAAGGAAAGTGAAGATGCAGTCTTAGTAATCCAAGAATGAGTTGGCCCCTGGGCCAATGTTGTGCATGTACAACTGAATGCGTATCAAAGGGGAGACATCTCAAAATGTGTTCGTAGTGATAGAAAATAGGAGACTGGAATTATAATCACTAATGATTATGGCAAACTTGGAAACAGGTGATAATTGAGAAAGGAGGATTAAGAAGACAATGAGATTGGTTTTCACACCTTTTAATTTAGGCTTTGTTGGAATATCTACTTGGAGTTGTACTTTTGGATGCCAAGAATAAGCAATTAATGTACTTCATAGTAAATGCCTTTTTATTTTTCTGTCTTTGCTAGACTATAAGGTCCTCGAAATTAAAAAATCATGTGGGTTTTGCTCATTTACCTATTTCCAGATCTTAGGACAGTGTAAGCCTCTTTTATGGCACACAATCCATACTAGTACTTGAATAAGTGAGACGAGTGTGTGGAAGCTACAAGGTAGGGGGGCAGGTATTGACAGTAGGCTCTCAGGTGGAAGCTTCTCCAGGAAGTCTTAAAGGTACATCCAAATTTACTAAATGGGGGCAAGAAAAGGAGCATGGAAGGTGGAGAGATAGTGCTGAGAAAAATCAGAAGTACTGTCAACAAATTTATTTGTGAGTTCTTTAGCTTTTTTTTTTTTTTTAATTGAGTACCAGGAATTATGCTGGGATAATGGAAAATGGTTGAGGTGGTGTTGGTGAAGAAGTCAAGGAACTGACATTCTGTTTAGAGGATGTCTAAGTGAAGTATTAAACCGTGGGCTCAGGATGAGGGTAATTGGATTTTTGTCAGAAAAAGATGGCCTTAGCTTGGTAGATTTGACAGAGTGGAGCAGACTGTGAGGATTAAGGCAAAGGCTTGCCAGGGACAGTAAACACATTGGAGAAGTTTATTAGCCATGAAAGGAGCTGAAGCAGTCTTTTGAGAATCTTAAAATTTTCATACTCTTCCTGTGCTTTATGCTATAAAATAATAGCTTTCTGGAATATAAAGCCATAATATTGCCATACTATACTTCTTCATGTCATCTATTTGCCACCCCTGAGATCCAGATGTATCTGGGGCCAGAGAGGGTATTGGTATCTGTATCCACTACCCTTACTTCCACCAGGGAGTCATTAGCTAGAAACAGTGGAGACGGTAACTGTGGTTGCCATGGGCACCTTTGCGTTTAATCTTGTACAAGGATGGAGAGGGGATGAGGAGAAGGGGTCAATGGGACAGCAGAAAGGAAGAAATTAGTGCCAATGGGGAGAAGCAGCAAGTGTCGATTTGTCATGGAACCAAATTATTTAGCTTTTAAGAAAGTAGTCATTATGTTGATATAATAACAGCCTTTTAGTGTGAGTTGTCAACAGACAGGGATAACTTTTTTTTTTTTTAATTTTTTTTTTCAACGTTTATTTATTTTTGGGACAGAGAGAGACAGAGCATGAACGGGGGAGGGACAGAGAGAGAGGGAGACACAGAATCGGAAACAGGCTCCAGGCTCCGAGCCATCAGCCCAGAGCCCGACGCGGGGCTCGAACTCACGGACCGCGAGACCGTGACCTGGCTGAAGTCGGACACCCAACCGACTGCGCCACCCAGGCGCCCCTGGACAGGAATAACTTTTAATGAGACCTCTAAAATAAAACCTTTATGGTACCCATGTGTTTGGGTTACTGTGATCCATTATTCTAACCCTTATTTTACTTCCCTCTTACATTGTGATTTATTGTGTTTGAGGCCCTAGTGATTCATTCCTTAGGGAATATATTTTAGTGCTTAAGCTATTATTTTAACTTTTAGCACTGCTCATTTAAATGTTCTCCTGTTTGCTAAATTTGAGATGAAAGGAATGTATTTTAACCATAAGGAATTGGAAGAATGGGGGAAAGAGTGTTTCATTGTTGAATAATGAGGAGCGTAGCCAGTGCCTAAGAAGTTGCCAATTGGATTGTGTTGACAAGTGTGATTTGTGTGAATCCCTTAAGAATATAACCAGGGTCATAATATGAACATAAAAATCATGAATCGTGTGGGTGAAGGAGTAGCCTGGGAATGGAAGGAAATGGCTATTAGTATATGTTGAAATTACTGTCCCAAAGAAACACAGGAGTCCTCACAATATATGTGTTGAAATCATCTGCCTCTGAAAGCTAAAACCCAGAAGAAAAATCCCAGAAAAACCAGAAAATAATTCTTTGAAGCTGTCTCCTTTTTAAAGTTGCTTATTATTGAATTATAGAAATAAGATATAAATATTGCTTTGTAATATGTAATATGAGCAATCATCGCTGACTTGATGTGTTCCTTACTATCCTGCTATAATTCTAGATACTTTTCATCCTCTGTGTCTGGTGTTTCTTAAGTGAGCTCCTAATTTCCTTAGTTTGCTCCCTTCTGGACTTCTATGCTCTGTTTACTTCAAGTAGTCAATTGTGTCCTTCTTGGATTTTCAGATAGCAAGTTTTGTCAACAAATCGGGCATGGACATCTCAATCCTGCAACGGTCCTTGGCCATTTTGGAGTCAATGGTGCTCAATAGCCATGACCTCTACCAGAAGGTGGCTCAGGAGATCACTATTGGACAACTTATCCCACATCTTCAAGGGTAAGCATACCACTGCCACCCCCTCCATGAGGAGGGGAAATGGTTCTGGTAGACAGCCACCATGGAGCTCTGGGAAACATTTTGGATTGGTTTGATTAAATAGGCAGAAAAGGAATCTTGATTTGACATATAGGCACACCGTGTACCAGACCCATCCCCCATCACACTGAAATGGCACAGTGACTTGCCTGTGGAGTGGAGCGGGGGCGCGGGGTGGGGGGCATGCCTGTTCCCAGTACCTGGCTCTTCATAGGCTGTTTTGATGAATATGGTAGATACCGGTAGAATTTTACTTTTAACAAGGCCTAATAGGACAATTTGTTCTCTTGAGTTCTCAACAGTATCTTTCCTTAGTCATTAAAAATAGTGTTTTCTGTGATGAGTATTTTCATAGATAATTGGGAATTTTTAGAGGTAGGCCTCTTTCTTAGGCTCAAGGTGATTACAGTGACCGTCAGTTTTGTATTTTGTAACGTATGTGTTTTATCTCTAGCGGCTTGAGCTCTAAGATGAGGCCCTGAACAGCCTGTAGGCTTTCTCTTCTCTCTACTCTTAGGTAGTTAGTAAGGTTGCCTCTGAGAAGCCCCCCCTGTTCAATGCTACTTTATAAATTAACCTATTTGGAGTTGCAGGTGGCAACAAACCCCCTGAGGTAGCTTACACAAGACCGGGGGTTTACTGAAAGAATACTGGTACGCTTTCTAGAACCCAGGAATGACTTAAGTAGCTAAGCCTTGACAAGGATAGAAACTATGGCCTCCTCGGAGTCCTCACAACAGGCCTTTTCTCTTGTGTTTTGGTTGGCACTAAAGTGACTTGGCTCCCAGTAACTACCACCCCTGGTCTCTCAGGACACATTTGCCAGTTCTCAAGAGGAAATCTGATTGGCCTTTTGGGGTTGGGAATGCAGGCTGGGGCTGTGAGGGAATGTTCATTAGTTCTCAATATGCCAAAAATGTTACCTGTTATGTTTATAATGTAAACTACCAAAGTGCATTAGATGTTTCTTTCATTTGGAAGGGGGGATGGTGACCAGGATGTAATAAGATTTTAAGTCACACAAGCTATGGATTGTGGTCTCAGGGAAAATGAGCACATGATGATTGTGTGCAAAATGATGATTTTGTGCAAAACCTGTCTAGAAATAATACCAGTTTCACATTTCCCTGAATGTGAAATGCATTATTTCTATAGTCTGTGTCTTTTCTCTGAATCTCGAGGGCATACTTGAGCATTCACGGTACACTTTGCCAAAGTGGAGAGTTTCTTATTTGGCAAGTGCCATGCTGAGGATTTTATATACATGAACTAATTTTATCCTAAAAGCAACACCTTTAAGAACCTGGGTTCTCACCCAGGGTTACAGATGAGGAGATGGTGTTTTGGGGATACCCCATGAACTCTTCCAAGGCTACATTGCCAGCCTGCGGAGCACTGGGCTTTAGATTTCATCCCTCCAAGGGCTGCGTTCTCAACTTTGCTTCTCCCTAAATTATTTCTAAATGTAGCTCTCCGGCTGCTCTTTGTTTGTGCCTTGGGTCCTTCTTGTTTACTCTTTACCATGGAGCTTCCATGAGATTTTTGCTTCATTTGGAATTTGTGACTTCATTTTGGTAAAAATAAAATTTGTAAATTTAAAAAATAAAAACCTGTTGTTTTTATTATTTAAAAAGTTTTTATTTGAAAATAGATTTTTAGAATATGTAATATCATTGCCATGGAGACAAAAGTGGTATCCTTTATAATAAGTTCAGGAGTGTAGGGACAGGCAAGTCTGGTCCCTATATACTTCATGCAGCAGACAGAAAATCACACACACACACACACACACACACACACACACACACACACACGGCCCCTGGGTTCATGTTTTAAGCCTAATAGAGGAGAAGGGGAGAGAGCCAGCTGACCACCTATCCCCAGGGAACAGTGTGTTGTCCAGCTAGCAACAGTAGTTGTACCCCCAACTCTCCCCCTGTGTTTCCTGCCTCATGATGATGATTGAAATACATTCTCATTCAGTGACAACTGCATTTTCTAGGCCATGTCTTTCTCTCTTATCTTTTTTTGGGGAGATCACGACCCTTATGATGGTCTGACTCAGAGGTAGCCTGTTCTGACTTTCTGTATTGTTTGTGTCTTTACAGGACAGATCAAGAAATCCAAACCTATACCATTGCAGTGATTAATGCACTTTTCCTGAAGGCTCCTGATGAGAGAAGGCAGGTAGGCTGGATTTCTTTTGTCTTAAGACTGTACCTGGGACTGGCAACTTTTGGGGCAGTGAGTGCCCTTTCCTTCCCATCCTGGGGAGTCCTTGGGCATCCCTGCTGCTCTGCAGCCCAGCTGGCCAGCCTGGGCTCGTTCACAGATCCAGTGGGCACTAGTTGGAGGTGCGCGAGCCCTTGTCTGAGGAAGAACACTCGGAAGGCTCTGGAGGCAGAGTCCTTTCATCAAATGAAACCCAACGTAGAAACTCGAAACATAAAGAGATGAAAGTGTTACTGCTGTGGTGGAAGCAGAGGTAGAAGCCTTGAGATCTTCTGTCATGTCGTTGAATGCTTCCTAGGGCAAGGGAGGTATTTCTTCCTGCCTGCAAGCTGTTCTCCTTTGCCCATGGAGGTTTAAGATGGCAAGGACAGGAGGGAGGACACGCAGATTGCTGCTACTGGTTGAGATAATTGTTCCTATGTCTGGGGAGCTCTTTGCTCCATGACATTTCTGTTGTCCACACATGCATGTGGCGGGGAGGACTGAGCAACACATTTCCCTTCTTCTGTGCAAACAAAGGAAGGGACCCTTTGATGTACCTATGTAAAACCTGTCCTTTGATACTGTCCTTTGTCTGCGGATCTCTGGTTCTTCTGCAGTGAAGTAAAGGATCATTATAGATGGTGCTGTGGAAGAAGTAGAATTTTGCACGTCTTGGAATATAGCTTGCACCTCAAAATCCATTCCTGTTTTTTCCATCAACATAACATATATTGTGTTACCTTGGTCACAATTCACTTCATTTAAAAATGGGTTGGAAATATGATATGTTTCCACCAATAGCAAGTATAGCGGGAGCTCTGTGACAGTTACCACTAAATTGTTTTAGCAGAACTTAGAAGCTAGCATGCTACTGGACATCATGTCAAGAATTTTAGTTTTTAATTTTATTTTTTTTCATTGCCAAGGATTTTAAACCTCAGTGACTAAATGTGAGGGTTTCTGGTTTTTCATTTAGAATCATTTGCTTATTCCTAGGGGGTTCTGTTTGCACAATGAAGGGAGTGGCTTTGTTGTTTCCTGTGTTTGGTTTGGTGTTGGAGCTGGGGGTTGCCTGCCCTCCCTAAGCCTGTGCTCCAGGCTGGATTTTTAAGGGGAGCGTGGCCGGTGGAATCCTAGGTGGCACTGCCCTCTTAATGTCTAAATATAAATTACTGAGCTCATGATAACCTCCAGCAGCCCAGCGAATGGCCTGACAGCTCTCACATGTGCAGTCCTGACATAGGCATTGGAAAAGCTTGATCCTTCTACTGGCCAGATCAAGGACACCTGGCAAACTGGTAGCTGAGTGTGGAGTGGGGGTCAAGAAGCCTGCTATCTGGTCTGACCTCATGGGCTTCTCCTTTTTCCTGTGGAAGAAGATGTTGGATTTGGGGAAGCAAAAACTCATGCCCACCCTAAGTGCTATGATTTCACTTGGATCCCTAGATCTCAACCTGTGTAAGATGCATACACTTTGCATCTTCCTGGTATGCCAAGAAGTACTGTTAATCTTCTCAATTTGTATCAAATGACCATGGAGAAATAGGGAATCAGTGGCCTATTGTACTGACTCCAGAATAATGACACCAATGAAAATATAATGGAATACCAACATAATGTTAGGTTTGGATTTTGTGAATCAAATTTTATTTTTTGAAAAGTAGGCAATATGAGACTGAGATGACACGGATTGGCAATATATTGCTATAATGATAATAAATCACAAAGGATAGTCTAATAACATTACATAATTCAAGAAAACAGTCCAACTAAGAAAGATAGAGTATATATAATCAAGCCAAAAATTTAGACTGTAATTTAGTCTTTGAAATAAAAACAGCGACAACATAGAAAATTAATTTTGACTTTATAAATTGTGTTGAATTTAAGGTGAGTCCGTGACTATTGTTTGTCAAGAAAAGGAATATTTAGATTTTTAATTTAAAAAATGTTTTTCAGTGCATTAAGAGAGAGTTGGCTCTAAAAATATAATTTCAAGTACATGACAAAAAAAGTTTGATGTTATTTCCTGAAGGTTAGTGGAGCCTGTAAAGCAGAAGATCATACTAATTGGGGATATCACTTCAGTTCTATTATATATATTGTTATTGGCTTTTCTTGTGAAAAATTAAATGTTCTGTATTTTGGGGGTAAGTAGGAAAATTTACCAAAGCCTGTCATCAATGATAATATTTTGAGAATTTGCCATGTGCCAGGATCAGTGTTCGATGCTTTGTGTCTTATTTCATTGAATTCTCATGTCTTCTGAAAGCCTTATTATTGCCTCTTTACAAATGAGAGTCAGAGGGAGTAAAGAATTTGACCAATTGCTGAGGAGATAAGAGTCACAGCTAGAATCCCAACCTTGACCTTGCTCTTCTCTGCAGAGCATCCCATTGTCAAGGAGGCGTCACCCACAGAATTGTCTCCTGTTTGCCGAGAGAAGAACTCTCTGGAGCCTGAAAGACACAAGCCCATTTTCTCCCTCTAATTAGATTAAAACATAATCTAAACATTTATTTATTGGATTTATAGGAACAGCTTTGTTTGTTTGTTTTAAAGCCTTAGGACATTGGACAGATTCCACTTCAGTGAAAAAATTTTATTTATTTCAACTTCTCCTCCAGACTTTGGGCCAAACACGTTGGTAGGACTCCATTAACTTGGTTTTCCTTACTTTTCAAAATGTTTAAAATGAATTCAGATGGATTTTAAACACCTCTTTTTGCTTTTACTGAGGAAAAATACCACCATGGTCAGATATTTTTACTTGTCAGGCAGACTGGAGCGATATTTTTGTTTTGTGTTCATTGAGTGGGCCTGAGAGAGTGCTGGGTTTAGAGGGGGCTGGGGCGGAACCTCCCGCTTTGCCAAGGCCCCCTGGGGGTTTTTGGGGGTGTGGGAGAAGGTGGTGGTACAGGGGAGGGGGTCTCTTGCTTCCCCATGCCTCCTGGATGTGGGAGATTCTCCCTGTCTCTGCACAGGTGAAGGGAAGGGGTGCTTGTGTGGGGAAGGGGGCTCTTGGGGATGGGAGCAAACGGATCCTTTTCCTTACAACTACATGCCATTATTCATGTTACCATTTTCATGGCATACATGTTGGTGAGGTCCCTTCCAGATTTTTCTATAAATATTTATGGTTTTCATAAGTATTATTTAAACAAAAACCTTTTTAAAACTTAAAAGATTTGGTGGGAAAATCAGAAAATACAGATTCAAAGGAAGAAGTTTGAATGACACCTCTAATTGCATGCCCCAAGAGAGAACTCTTGCAACTGGTCACACTTTGTGTGGCCCCTCTTCCTGCTTTCTTCTAAGCAAAGCCTCTTCTACATACATGATTTTTTTTCACTACATGCACTGGTTATTTTTTTAACTGCTTTTAAAAATGAAACAGGATTTTGTGAACATGTTTCCATGTTAATATACATATATCCATATTTTTTTATTTTTAAAATTTTTTAATGTTTATTTTTGAGAGAGAGAGAGATGGAGTGTGAGCAGGGGAGGGGGCAGAGAGAGAGAGAGAGAGAAGGAGTCACAGAAACTGAAGCAGGCTCCAGGCTCTGAGTGGTCAGCACAGAGCCCAACGCAGGACTTGAACCCATGAGCTGCAAGATCATGACCCGAGCCAAAGTCGGATGCTTAACTGACTGAGTCACCCAGGGGCCCCCCTACATCCATATTTATATCTATCTATACTTTTATATCATCTTAACGGTATAAAATATTCTCTATGGACTCTCAAGTTTACTCAGTTTTCTTATATTGAACAACAACAACAACAACAACAACAACAACAAATCCATGTTGGAGACAAGGATTTTTTATTTTCTCCCTGACCAAGTTTCTGTTCCTTACAAGGGTAGTAGAAAACGTTCTTTCATTTCCAATCATTTATTGTCTACTTTCTGCCAGACATAGTGCTCCAGGCATGGAATACAAAGATGAAAAGGACAGTCTCGGTGCCCTTAAGGTGACCATAGGCTTACAGAAAAAGATAAATAATGTCAACAGATAATTACAACAATTGTTGTAGATACTGGAAATAAATTGTCCTTTTTAACTTATTTAAAATTTCATCAATCAATAGGCTAAAATAGAGAATTTTTTTCTTTTTTTGTGTGTGATTAGGCAGTAATTTCATTTTTATAAAAGAAAATAAATTAAAAGAACTGTAGGGTCCTTTGGGTTCTTTGTTTTTCATGTGGTCCAAGAAAAAAAAGTGGACCTTCCTATTTGCATTAGGAAGCAAGTACTGCTTTCTGTGCGTACCATAGAAAGACAGGTTCTTTCCAGGCTGCTCTTTTACTTGTTTCTGTGTGTGTCATTGTCCTTGCTTTTTTATTCTTAAGAGATTGGAAGGTGATTTGAAACACCTCACAGTATTTATGCACTTTTCTCTGCAATGCAGTGGGTCAGCAGGGGTGTTAAACGAAAATTGTAACCTCTAACAGAGTCCTCTGAATTTCCATCCCTTCTTCTTTCCTACTTGCTTTCCTTTCTGTGGTGACGATGGCACCATTAGGTTGGTGTAGAGAGCAGTGTTGACATCCTTGATTGTCCTCTGACTGTAAGTCCCCACATTCTGTTTCTGCCCAAGCCTGCTTGCGTGTCCCCCTTGCACTTTCTCCCTGTGTTCTGGGTCCTCCTTGCTTCCTGCAAGTTTATTTTAACCTCGAATGAATTCATGGTTGTGTGTTTGAATCGTAGCTTAGTTTCTTCTCTACTCAGTTAAGAGCAGCAACCCTAAAATCCAGCCCCTCCCTGCCCAAAAAACAACACGCAGGTGTCTTCCTGAATATGAGCAGTATTTTTGTTTTTGGATGTTTGTACCATGGTTGTACCCAGCTTTATAATTTCTCCTTACTATCTGTTTCTCAATATTTAGAAAGAGTGTCCATGAATCATTTCTTTTAATAAAGTCACCTGCAATTCCTCTGTGTTAGCCAGGCAGCCCAAAGCCCAAGGTACAGCTTGTAGAAATGATGCCTAGCAATGCGGAGTGTGGGCTCTAAGAGCTTCGCATTTGCTCAGATATTTGTCCTTCCCTAAAGAGCTGCTCGGTTCACTTGCATAGATTGTTTTCAAGCCCTGGGATAAGTACCACTCCCTCTTTGGTTTTGCATAGATTAAGAAGGTTTAGGTCCTTAAAATGATGGTTCTCTACTATGGGGATCTCCTTGGGGGCAGGCGTGTCTCCTAGTGAAACCTCCCTACACATGTATAGTCTAATAAAAGCTGATGAGCCTTTGGAATGGAGAGCCATTGCTCTCCTTTGGAGCATTCACTTTTAATTCAGTACTCAATTTTTCCTGGAAGGTGGAAATTCCTAAAAAAAGGAGAGGAGAAGTTTGTGGGTGCCAGATTTCCTTCCTCTGCTTTTGGACAAAGCTTTGTTATCAAAACAGAACATTCAAAAAGTCATTTGAATACCACTGCCTGTTGGTGTCTATTCCTTCATAAGAAATACTGCTGATATACAGTTAGGAAGCACACCCAGGATAAAGTCGTTTGGGGCCATGTTGAAATGGATTTTTCTAACCTAAGGTTTTATGTGGGTGTGTTTTCCTCCAACAGGAGATGGCGAATATTTTGGCTCAGAAGCAGCTTCGTTCCATCATTTTAACAGTGAGTACCTATGTGCCGTGACTTCTTTGTTGGGTGGGAATGGTCTGGTGTGTTCATATATCTCCTCTTTTGGCTTCCATTCGTGGTGTGTTCTATGACTTGCTTCTGTGAGGAAGCAGTAGGAACTAGAAAGGAAGAAGTGTGGTTTTGGAACTGGAATAAACAAGGCTTTCCCACAGGAATGGCCTCCTTTGATTGTAAGGAGGAGTCTCTGGAACTGCTCTAGAAAGACATTCTGGCAGAAAGGGGTGGAAATCTCTCCCAGTGGTGCAGGTTTATTATAGTTACCATCACTCTAGCTTTACATTTAGGAAATCAGGGGCTCCTTGACTTAAAAAAATCCACTTGTGTGAGCTTATACAGCTTTTAATGAGGAAGCTAGCTGGAAACCTTCTCAGACTGACAGAAGCCCTGTAATTTTGACCATCATTTTCCTGGGCCCCTTTGCAAGACACAGGCAGGAAAGACATACATGGAATCCACTTGTGAACTGCAATGCAAAAATGACCTGAAATGTCAGTGGAAAAGAAGCCCTACATGTTACGTTGTGAATGCTTCAAAATAAATCAAATAGCATGATTTCCCGAGGCCTTATCTGCTGCTTGACTTTTAACCAAAGGCTGAAAGAAACATGCATGATTGATTTCCAGCTTACGAAAGAAGCAATTTCTGTTTCTGTGATTTCAAAGAGTTCTACAAGCTCACAATTACACACACACACTCTAATATAATGAGTCTTTTGAAAGTTAAAAACCTTTATGAGGGCAAACACAATAAATATTCTAGAATCCAAAGCCAATGGCAATGACTACAGTTTGTCATCAAGTTTGATTTTAAATTTCCTGGCTGACAGGATAAAAAGAAACATATGAGTATAATTTTCATTGTTTAATGAAAGAGGTACCCCAGTTCTTTGGGGATGACACACTTTTCCCCCCAGGAACTGGAATATGAAATGGGTGTTTGTTGAGTATCCTAGTAGATTCTTGGTCCAAGAATGGTCTGGTAGAGATTGCAGAGGGGGGATTCATGATATGGTTCATCTTTGTCCTGGCTCTCAGTGGAAGTGGAGGCTTCACTACCAGATGTAGTTCAGTGAAGGTGTTTGTGTGAGAGGAGGAGGGTGGAGGGACAAAGGATGAGAAATGTTAAATTAAGGTCTTAGCCCATGGTTGTTACCTGGGTGTGGCAGTGGGGGTTAGAATGCCCAGAATTACAGTGGGCGGAAGTGGCTGTGGCTTCCATGTCTGAAAGATCACTTTGCTTCAGTGGGAAATCTCCTATGAGACTTTGGTGGCTGGAAGGTCAAGGGTGGTATTCTCAGGCAAAAACTTGGAGCACAGATTCTTTTGAGTTGCTAGTAAAAAAGATGGCTATACACCTTGGATGTGAGGCACATACTATGAAGTAACATTCAGTTCTGAAAATGGAAGGGTATGGGGTCTCATTCCACCTCTCCATCTCACTGACTAGCTTCCCACCCACACAACCCCAATATTTTGGTTCAGTGACTTTTTTCTGTTCCTCATTTTTTCTCTCTGCCTCTCTTCTTTAACTGGCTATTTTGACGTGGTGCTCACAGCTAGGACATGGAGTCCAATGCATGTTGGGTTTGGGGGCACCTAGAGAAAGTTCTTTCAGATGGCAAGATGTGGTTGGCTCTATCACATTCAAAACCACTGATTTGAATAGTCGTTTCACCACAATGACCGGTTGTTTGGTTGTTCGGCATTTTTAAGGCACAACCACAGTCTCTGCTAAAGAAGATACATGTTAGGCCCAAGCATTCAGTCTCCTTTCTGACCCAGCTCTGGTGGGGGCAAAGGCCTCCATATCTAGTCTCTTGTCATTCCTTTTATATTTGTTCCACTTTCACTCTCTTTCTAAGGGGAAGGGTCATTTTATTTTTCATTTAATTGTTAGTAGGCGAGTAAAGTTAAGCACATGCATTCCCTCACTGCATTGTGGTGGTGGTGGTGGTCTCTGGATAGTTTCCACAGTGAATTAACTGCAGGCCTGACAGATACTTTGCTTTTTTGTGTTGCTTCTAAAACTTTTCCACATTTAGAAGTGGGATGACGTGTCAGGGACCATGGTAGGGTAAAATGATGGCAAAATTGCTTACAAGATGTATGCACCATTCACTCCTCTACTGGCCTGCAGGGGATGCTTCTGTTACAGAAATCCAGTCTTCCTTCTCAGCTTATGTCAGGCACACCTTCTTGACTCATATTGTGGCAATGACCAGTGCATTTCTAGTGCCTTCCATTCTTCTCCCTCCCTCACACAGTAGGTCTTTTCCTGGTTTCTGGCCCAAATAGCAGGAATGTTATTGGGCTCTGGAACATAAACAAAAGCTCTGAGATCACCTCCATGCTCCCCTTTCTTCCGAAGGGCGGTTCCACCCACCAGCCCACACTCCCTGTGCCTCCAAATGGAGAATTCTGGGTCTCTACCTGGCATAGTTATGGGGATTAATTGTTTGCTTTTTCTTGTTTAAATTTTTTCTGAACTATCTCTACAGAATGTTATCCGAGCTCAGAGAGCCATCAACAATGAAATGGCACACCAGCTGTATGTGCTACAGGTGCTTACCTTTAACCTTCTAGAAGACAGGATGATGACCAAGATGGACCCCCAGGACCAGGTGAGTGTTCACCTGACAGCAGCAAAAGCACATAAGGGAGAGAAAGTTATTTAAAATCTTTTCTGGGGCTACTCCCAAACCAGGAATTTTTAGGTGATGATAATTGTTTTATTGTCATCTTTTTTTTTTTTAATTTTTTTTTTCAACGTTTATTTATTTTTGGGACAGAGAGAGACAGGGCATGAACGGGGGAGGGGCAGAGAGAGAGGGAGACACAGAATCGGAAACAGGCTCCAGGCTCTGAGCCATCAGCCCAGAGCCCGACGCGGGGCTCGAACTCACGGACCGCAAGATCGTGACCTGGCTGAAGTCGGACGCTTAACCGACTGCGCCACCCAGGCGCCCCATGTTTTATTGTCATCTTAGAACTTGGGGGAATGCATCTAAAATTTAGGCAAATTTAGGATCAGAGAATAAAGCAAATGGATTACTTCATTATACATCGAACACACGCATATTCTTCCTTTATTGGATAAGAAAGCCTGATGTCACACAGCCACAGATCTTGGCTTTTGGTCCCAATACCTTCAATGGTAATGGCTCTGGAGTCAAGTTCCCGGACAACCAGGGCCATTTGGTTGCTCTGTGTGATACTGACCCTGCAGATTGAGGAAGTGATTTCCATTCTCCCGTCGTCATTACCGAAGGTGGGGGTCCCAGGTGACACCTGATTTCTGGGCTTGCGTTTTTGTTGGTTGGCTGTTTGTTATAATTCTCTCAAGGTCTCTGGTTGTTGTGTGTGAGAGGTTATGTCTCCATCCAGAAGGCTTTTGGGGAACTTTACTGTGTGAGGGCAGAGTGAGAGGAAACAGCTGGGAATCCTGCTGTAGCACATTTTCAACTTAAACAGCGCTGCAGCTTTGGAAAGGAAAACACTCATTATTGGCACGTGAGGGCCTGATCTATTGCAGATGTGAACTGCACATGTGAAGTGTGTAACAGCCACGGCACTTCGTTCATGGCACGAGGCCATGCGATTAAGAATGATGGAGAGGCTTTGAGAGGCTGTCCGCCATGCCCTGGACTTTTGGCAAGGCCAAGTGTAATCATCCCAGAGAGATGAGACTGTCATCTTACCACTTCTAGTGATGGAAGGCCATGCATCTTAATGTGGAACAGCCCTCCCTGTTTGGAAATGCTTCCTTTTATTTATTTAAAACATACATTTTTCTCTTATCATGGTAAAATACACATAACAAGAAAGTTAACCATTTTAGCCATTTTGAAGGGTTTGTTTCCATGAAGTCACTTCTTAGTGGAGTCCAGGACCCCTTGTCACTTGAATGCTGTTCATAAACCTCTATGCCTCTCACTTTGTTTCGAACAGTGCGGAAGTCCCAGGTTCTTGAACTTGGCTTGTATGAACCCAAGCCTTCCATAATACTTGGGGCTCCATTTAGAACTTGACTAGGCAATTGACACCAGTATTCCAAGTGACTTGGCCATGAGGATAATCGTGGAAGGTTGCCAGGGCTGACCAGCAGGGAGAGTGGCAGGGGGACTATGCAGAGCCCTAACTTAGAACATTGGTTGTCTTTTATCTGTTTTTCTTTTGCCTGAAAGCAGTGATTCATTTAGACCCTGGGGAAAGAGGGAGTGTATGTAATGTCACACAATGAAAGCAGCTCTTCCCTCCCCCTCCTTTTTTTTTTTCTCCCTAACGCCTTCAGGCTCAGAGGGACATCATATTTGAACTTCGAAGAATCGCTTTTGATGCAGAGTCTGAACCTAATAACAGCAGTGGCAGCATGGAGAAACGCAAGTCCATGTACACACGGGATTATAAAAAACTTGGCTTCATTGTAAGTAAGCTGTCTCCAGTAAGTGCTCTCCTTCCAACATCAGGGGCCTGACCCCAGCCACACAACTGATGGCTCCTCCGAGCGTGTGGTCCTCTTGTGCCTCACAGAATAGTTTCCATATTTTCCAGATGTTTAGCTGTTTAAACAGGATCACATGAAAATCTCTTCTGGCTGCAGTGAAGCGGAATAACTTGCACAAGTGTGACTAATACTGAGTTTGTTTATTCGGTTCTGATTAAGTGTAGTTAGCCCGGGATGCATCTAGACTTCATTAAGTCTACTTCACAAGATGCTTAAGGTTCTATTCGAATTAAATGGGCAATGGCAACTGTGGGATGGATCTTATTATTGGGTTAGTGATTGGATTACTTACATACATGGATTTTGTATCAAAGTCAAATTGGGAGGCTCCTGACATGTATTCACGGTCAGATTTATGTGATTTATATTTTCCTAAAAGTTTTGCCTTGCTATGGGCACTTGCTATGGGCTCCTAGATTTTCTTTTTTTCAGTTTACAGATCAGAACACAGCTTGTCTGGAATATAATCTATTGTTTTTGTTTCAACTTGGATTCCTTTCTTGCCTTTATCATCATTGCATTTCTCCCGTGACTTTGAGCTAATTAATCTCAAATTCTCCGGCTGTAAAATTAGGTCTCCATTTTAGCCTCCATTGTAAATGGCAAAAAATGAGATTTTGGCTTCAAGGATTAGAAATCACCAGGCATTGCTTTATATTTCCGGATACACTCTCCTTTAATACACACACGCGCACACACACACGCACAAATATTAATATTTATATGCATCAGTATCCTGCTTTATATGGTATTTGGGAAACCTTGCCTTTCATGGGCATTGTCTTTGCAAATATTTCCACGTGAGTTTACTTGTATTGTTTTTCATTACTGAAGACTTTTTCATTATTTGGATGGACTACACTTTATTTAATCAAACCCTTTTACTGAGCATTTCAATGTTTTGAAATTACCAGTAAGTCTACAGTTAACATCTTTGCCGCCCATTAGTTATACACATCCATGATCAAGTTATTAAGATAAATTTGTGGGACTGTCATTTCTTTGGCATATATTTTTAAGGTTGTTGTTATTACCAAATGGCTTTCCTTTCCACAAACACTGAGTCATTTCCACTTTAATCCAATGGATCGGAGTGACTATTTTTTTAAACTTTTCTAATGTTTCCTAAACTAAAAAAAATCTGATAAGTTATTGTTTTCATTGTGATAGTCTTAATATATGTTTTCTAATAAGTATACTTGTCAAACATCATATTGTTGCTTTGCAACTTACTGTACAGAGGTACTGTGACATCATTTTTACCTCATCATATCTCATATTTTTTAATGTATATTTATTCATTTTGTGAGAGAGTGTGCCACTATGGGAGGGGCAGAGAGAAAGGAAGAGAGAGAATCCCAAGCAGGCTCCATGCTGTCAGCACAGAGCCCGACACGGGGCTTAAACCCACAAACCGTGAGATCATGACCTGAGCCGAAATCAAGAGTCAGACGCTCAACTGACTGAGCCACCAGGCTCTCCCATATCTCATATTTTGACTGACACTACATTTGATTTTATAGTTGAATCTATTTTTTAAAATCTTAGCAAAAAGTTTCGTGGCTGAAGGACCACGTGAGATTTCCCTGTACTTGCTGTGTATCGATGGTCAAGGCTTGTAGGTGACCCCAGCCCTGCTCTCATACATCTGTGCATTGGCAGAGCCTATTTATCAGGGATATGGCTGAGGGAATGTGGATGGGGCTCACGTTCTCTTTCCCCACCCAGTTCTTTACAGGTTTTACTTTTGCATGTTGAACGAGGTCTATCCAAATCACCAGGGAAGCTTTGGAAAATCACCCAATCTCCTACCCTCAAATCATATCAAAATAGCTTGGGAAGAGATCAAGGCATGTGTATTTCAAAATACCCCCAGCTGATTCTGACATCTTGTCCTGGTGGAGAGCCTGGGTGTAGGGTTTGCCTGAGTTGCTACCGTTTCGTGGTCTTCCTCCACTATTGCCTGGATTTCCAGTGCATTTGAACTATGCAGAAAATACACAACGCTAGTTGTTTCTACATGCTGCCACCCAGGACTCATTGTGTCTCTGCCCCAGGTCCTAGTGGTTTTTGTCAGGGGGAATTTGGATCCCAGAATGCACAGTGTCATTTCTTCTTCTGGCCATGTGTGTGAAGGACAGAGAAGAGAGGGAAGTCAGGGGAAGAACACTTACCAGGACTTGGGTTATTACAGGTTCTTAGGGTTATGACAGATCTCTAGGAAGGGTATATATAATGGGCGTGGGACGTATGAAACATCTCCCTTTTTATTTTCGGGTTCTGGTCCTATGTGAAATAATCAGAGTATTTCATGAGCCAAACTCTGAGTGACTTTTCTCAGTGTAGCTCCATCTGTGTTAACATGATGTTAATTCCTTCCACAGTTTAGTATTAGAGTATATCTGTCTTAGTTTTCAGTGTCTACTGAATGTTCTGCTTCAAGTACTTTGGGAAAAACAATGTATTTTTTTCACTTAAAATTAATCTGATGTGGTTTTAAGGCTTTAGCTCTTATGTGGCCTCCTTTCAAAGGACTTGAAAAGTCATTTTAGAAAAAGCAGAGACCTGGAACATAGAATAACCAAAAGAGAGTTGGTTTCCTTTATTTTTCCATGATTCTTTTTTTGGTTTTCAATTTTAGTCCTTCCCCTGAAACTTCTTCTAGGCCACTGTCGTGCATAAGAGAGTTGAGAAATTGGAAAGACGAGTTAGTAATGATTTCTAATGGTGGAAATTTTCCAACAGCTTTGACAAGCAGAGATTTTCAGTTTCGAAGGCCAGTCCGCCAGAAACAGACAAGCCTCAGTAAACGGAATCATGCGCTCATTGCGCCACCTAGAGACCGTCGTGCAAAAATGCTGGTGGGACACAAGTGGCCATAAAATCTCTAGGTGCTGTAAGCTGTCTTGATGCACAATTCTCTCTGTGCTTCTGAAAGAGGAATAGTCTTGCCCATTCCCTTAGTGAACTCCTTACTGTCTCCTCCTTTAGGAGCACTTGAGATTTGGACAATCTTTTGGATCTCTTTGAGGAAGAATTTCAATTCATAAGATGAAGATTGTTGTTTCTCATTTCACATCTCCTAAGGAGGCAATGCCTAGGAAGTGTTAAATGACAAGTTTTTGGAGTTCAGTGGGCCAAGATTTTAATTCCATATTTCCTAATTACAAGCCATTGGACCAGTGGGCCCGTTATTTTCACCTCTTCGGCCATCAGTTTCCTCAACCATGCAGCTACTGTTCTATTTCAAGGTTGTTGGAAGGCCATTAAAGATCATCTGTTAGTGAGTGGCCCAGCATGTGGAACGGAGGATGTGCCCAGAAAATACCACTTCCCTTCCTTGCTTTGTGGAGAGCACATGTCATGGAAATCACAGGCAGCTTGTTCAGTTTTCCAAAGCAGGAGGGGCAGTTGCTCCCACAAGGCAAGCAGAACAGTTGTTAAAGGATAATAAAGCACAACACCTTTGAGAAGGCAGATGGCCTTACATCTCTTCTCAGCACAGCATCCCAACAGAGCAGGTTTTTCTGATGAAATAATTCTGAAATCTCAATTTAAAGTGGCTAAATAGCATGTATGGTTAGTCATAACACAGAAAAGCATCTGCTTCTAAAACAAAGCTGCTTAATCTTCTAAGATCTCTCAGTTCATGATTCTCTAGTTTCCAAGTAGACATGCCTTTGCACGTCCCTGGGTGGGAGGAGGGTCAGGGTTACTGGAACTAAGAAGGGAAGGGCACATATATTTCTCAAGGTGATGGAAGGCAGATTCTATTTAGAATGACTTTATTTTGAAAACCGGGGAAATGCCTGCTAACAAACTGTACCTTGTTGGTTATAATGGTCAAGAACTGTGTCAAATGGTATTCATACTCTGTGAAGAGTTGTGTTCCTGGCTAGAAACCCTTCAGATGTTGAATTGGTAGCTTCTCTGCTTAAGATTTTTACCTTTGTCCAGTTTGTGGGACAGTCATTAAAAAGGACATATTTGTAGTTCATCTTTCTTTCTTTGTTTCTCTTTCTTTCTTTCTTTCTTTCTTTCTTTCTTTCTTTCTTTCTTTCTTT